GACGGAGGCGGTGCCGCCCGAAGCTCAGAAAACCCAGAGCGGAGGCGCAAGATCTCACGGGAAATGTAGTCCAGAAGCGCGGAAACGGCCGGCGGCGCCTCCCCCGCAAGGGGCGCTGGGAAACGTAGTCCCGAAAGCGTGGACGGGACGAGCCGGGCGGGAGCCTTAGCTCAGGTCGCAAACCCGCTGTCTGACCTGAGCGCGAGTCCTGGGGACTGCTTCGATTCCTACCACAACTCAGTTGTGACCTTAAGCAAGTTATCCTAACTTACTGTGTTGCTCCTTCAGATTGTGGTCAATGAATAAGGAACTTAAGCCCTCTGAAGCCGTGGAAACCGATCCTGAACCTCGCCTAGCCCCTTTTAGAAATGATCAGAAACACTTGGTGCTTTGTTGGACTAAGCCCTGCGGATAGTGCAACCACACTAAGAGAGGCGCTGGGAGGGCCTCACCTTGGGGTTTTTATGTCAAGTCCTGGAAATAATACCTAAACAGATGTAAACTCCATGGCATGTTACAAAGTGATTTTTAAAAAGACACGGTAACGAGGTGAAGGTGCCATTTCACACAGGCAAAGCCTACAGAGTGTAGTCCCTTTCCTCCCGGTGGCCAAAGCTCTTAAATGGTTCTTGGATGTAAGCTCAATATAAGAGGTGTGGTAATCGCCCTAAGGAACAATACCTGGCAGGTGGCCCAGGCCCTCCCCTCCCAGTGACACTCCTTAAGTTGTAAAAGAACTGGATGTTATCTTTGCTTGAAGGGCTCTTTCCAAGAAAAGGACTTTCTTGCTTCACTAGGAAGTCAAGTAGCTATTAACTGACTTTACATCCATTTCCTAGAATCTTTACAACCCTAAACAAGGTACTATTTCCATTTTAAGCTAAATAAAAGTGGATCTCAGAGAGGTGAGGTTAACTTGCTCAAGCCAGATCTGACACCTGTGATGTCTTTAATCACAGCTCTTGCCTAAGTGAACCACTTCTCATTAAAACCCACCCATAGCAGACCCTCCCTGATGGCGCAGCGGGTTAAAGCACAGCATTGAGAAGCTAAAGCCACTTCCGCATGAATTCCATTCCCGCCTGCCACCTGCCCTGCCACCTGCCCCGGAGGAGACCACATGGCGCGGCAGACATCTCCTGGCCACGCCGGCTGCTCCCCTCAGCAGTGTACTTCGTAGATCTGCCTGTTCTGCTCCCCACTCTCTCTCTGGTGAAGCCTCTCGCTGCCCCTGAGCCTCTGGCCTGTACCCCAGTTCTGAATGCACAAATAAATAAATCTTTAAAAAAAAAAAACCCACCCATAGCAGACAAAATGATGAATCCTGGATCTCCATAACCCAATTTAAAGATTACTTTAAATCTTTAAAGGGATATAGGCAATTCCTTATTTTCATTTAATTTCCAGTGATATTTCACTATTTTCCTCCTTACAGTTCCCCTGATGCACATCAACTTTTTTAAAGTATTTGTTTCCCAGGGACTAGTTCAAGCCTCACTCGTAGGGGAGAGGCTGCTATTACAGACACCAGAAGCCATCACCTGCAGGTATTTCTTTTGGAGCACGCCCAATCAGGCAGGCAATGAATTTCACCTCTCAATAGCAGTCTCAGTTTGCTATTGTAAATGAGTGTTTTAATACTTCAGATGAGTAAAAAAAAAAAAATTCAGAGAATTAGGGGAAAAAACACAGAAATCAACAGAACGTATGAGAAGTATCTTTATTTGAGGTATCTCCCTCTAAGTGGCATAAAGGAAAAAGTTCTGGATTAACCATATCATTCTTCTATTTTCACAAGGGAACGTCTCCTTCAAATGCCTTTGAAATTAAACAGACATGTTTGTAAATATATCTTTCTCATTAAAACTACTTCCCAACTCACCAAGACTCCACTTACCATGAACTTCTTGGATACATTTGTTCATTTTATCCAGTATACAAAATCCCACCTTTTTGTAAGCTATTAAAAAAAGAGACCCTTAAAATTCTCAAATTACTTTCCAACAAGTCACCCAAAGGAAAATCACCAACATCCAAAACTTTTTAAAGCAATAAAAATCTCTATTTTCCAAAAACATATTTACAGACTGAAATTCAAACTCTACATTGCCTTCAATATATTTTAAGAGCATACAAAGCCCTAGGAAAGACAAAGTGTTTCTTTACAAAATATTTATGATCAAGAAAATAGTGCTTGCCTTTAAATAAAGAGTAAGAGGCAGAAAAATAAATATGTTTGAAGATGCCCATTTTCACAAGTAACAAAAAAGTCCACATATAAGGAATGAAGAGAAAAGACGCACAAGCTTCAAAATGCCTCTAGCAGTGCCGCACAAGTTTGCTATAAAGCGAGGCTGTTTGGACTCCTTTGTGTTCAGTTATAAAAATACAAAAAGAGCCTTGCCAGAGGAGGGCTTCATTGAGCTGAATCCATGATAAGAGCAGCAGTGACAGAAGAAGCTGTAACCTCAGCCTAATATTGTTAGCAAAATCTTGCCATCAAACAGACTAAAATTTTTGCCCCATTTGGACAAAAAACATCCTTAACTGGTTCTCGTAAGAAATCGTGTGTGTGTGTGTGTGTGTGTGTGTGTGTGTGTGTGTGTGTGTGTGTGTGACACATTTCACTACACTAAGCTATCTGAGAGATTAAGGATAAAATGCGCACTACTCTCCACAACTCCAGCCCTGCTCCGTCCGTCCACCTTGACACTCACAGAACTTCAGTCCTCTGATTCCATTTCTCTAAATCTGCCACCTCTTCGCTCCAGGTGTTTACTGTCTATGAAGTCCCTGGAGTTCCGTCAGCGCCAGCTCAGCGCAGCTCAGACTCTCAGCCTCCTGGACCAGCTCTGGCCACCTACCCAGGCTCCTCCTACCTTCTCTGCACCCAACAATCCCAACACACACATTTGATCCCAACATACAAGTGCAGTCACAGCAGAGGGACAACATCCAAAGGAACACATTCTGAGGACTGTACATAGCACCCTAGACGTCTCACTGAGGAGAAACCAGATCAAGTGCGTGAGTACAGAGCTGACAAAGAACCTGTGTTAAAATGCAATCTCTTAAAATAGGAACTTCACAATAATCACATCAAAGTCCTAACGTTCACAAAAGTGTATACATTAAACAAATAAGCCCAATCTTCCACACCTATCGACTCCACGACGAAATATTGCACATGATACTCAGTTTGTCCTTTAGTCTGTACAAGACCAACAAAAAACAAAAACACCAGCCACCTGTCCCACACGAGTGCGCCTGCGGTGGAGCACACTGCCCGAGGCCACACCCACGGCAATGCCTCCTCCCAGAGGAGCCTGGTCCTGGAGGGTGAGGGAGCCTCAGTCACAGATCCTGGCAATGAGAGGGGCCTGGTCCGGCAGGTACAAAACGGGTGGGGAGCCCACACTACTCGGGGGGCTGCGGAAGTGCGCGTCAAAGGAGTTTGGTGTGATCCAAACTTCACCTTTCAAAAAGTCATCATCTTCATCTTCCACTACCTCCTGTGTGAGGAACAGAGGTTATCAGTAAGATCCCAAGTGGTTTGGGAAGCTTTCAAAAATGCCTTTCCTCAGAAGCTGCTATGCCTGTAATGATGAAGTGTCTTGACTTCAAAAGACTTCTGTTGCATTCTTCATGAACCATTCACAAGACCCCATCACCTGCTGTAATTATTTATCTGCAGGCTGGCTTTTTATGATGATTATTATAGTTTAATTTTACATCATTTTGTGTCTTTTTCCATCTCAGTTGTAATCCCCGTGGGCTTCCCATCACCACAGTCCTAACTCCTGCCCCACTCCCATCCCCTCCATTTTTGATCCCATTCCCCAATCCAGCACCATAAAATGTCTCTGGTATATAGTTGTTCCTTATTATTCCTCCCCCACCCCAGTCCTTTATGCTCCTGCTGTGAGTGAAACCATCCAGTATTTTTCTTCTTCTTTCTGGTACAGCCTGGCTTTTTAACAGACTTTCAGCTCAATGAGAGCAGGTAACATGGTATGTCATTCCTGCTCAGTGTCATAACCCTCGTGTCTGACAACACACAAATATAAAGAAAAAGATGACATGTGGCCCAAAGAAATGGGTGATGATACTATAACAGAATTAAAATTCTCTTCTTTGGCCCTCCCTGGTGGCGCAGCGGGTTAAAGCACAGCACTGAGAATCTAAAGCCGCTCCGCATGAGTTCGATTCCCGCCTGCCCCGGAGGTGACCACATGGTGTGGCAGACCTCTCCTGACCCACCCGCTGCTCCCCTCAGCAGTGTACTTCGTCAATCTGCCTGTTCTGTTCCCCATTCTGTCTCTGGTGAAGCCTCTCACCGCCCCTGAGCCTCTGGCCTGTACCCCAGTTCTGTATGCACAAATAAATAAATAAATTTTTAAAAAAAAAAAATTCTCTTCTTTGGCAACCCTGGCTCAGCCTCACCTAAAGTACACCAGGGGATGTGTTTTGAACCACACCTTTACCACATGTGTGGGAAGCTCTGCAGAGCCAACATTAGTTTCTGGAGTAGCTTCAACATAAGGCTATTAATTTGCAATCGCTACTTGTGGTGATGATCAAGTGGTAAAAACCTGAACTTGGCCCGCTGACTTGAATTAACTTCAACTTCCCAAAGTCAGCATGGGAACTGATTTGCAAATCAGCAAATGAACAAAAAACTCTTTCTGTAAGAACATCTAAAGCATGGAATTTTTGTAAAGGCAGAATGACTAAAATTAAGTTTTGGTCTGCTATTTACTATCACTGTCACCTGTAATCATACAGATTTTCGGAAAGTGTTGGATCAAAACTTACCTTTTTAATGGGTTTCTTATACTCCTGAAGCTCTTCTACACTGATATCTTCCCATATCTGGTAAACAGGATCAATGAATTTCTTTGATCTGTCAATAAAGATCAGATTTCACCATCAATTCATATGCTATAGTGAATGGCTCTTTTCACAAGTCCTACCTTCCCCATCAAGAAGTGAAAACTGTGGCACAAATAATTGTGTCCTACATGTGAATACTGCAAATAGCAACACTTGCCATCTACCCCTTCTCACCTTTGCAAAGGTTGACGATGTTACAACATGCCCAAATAAAGTTGAAACTATAATCCCATTTTTAATATTCCCAAAGCAATTTGCTAAAAATAAGACTGGGGAAAAAGTTTCAGTCAAACAAGAGTTGAGGGAGCAGCAAATTTTAAACTTGTTTAAACAGAAACTAATAAAAATCCCACTTCCTCAGACAAATAATATTTAAGCCTGGGATGGTGTTTTGCTTTTTTTTTTTTTTTTTTTAATTAACCATCTAGGTAAGTCACTTGGCTTTTGTTTACCCTAGGCCACAGTACAGGATGTAGCCTTTGGAGGAAGGAACAATCACTTGGCAGAAAATCATTAGCCAGGAAAAGATGGCATCCTCCCTACCTCGCCCTTCCTCCTCTCTTTGCATGTTTAACAACAGGTTTAAAGGTTAAAAACAAATCAATCTGCGTTCTAGCTGAGGTAAAGCTTTGCAGCCCTGGGACTATGGCACTCGGCAGCCCCCAGGAGGCGCTCTCCTCCTGTGAGGCATGTGGAAGGCGCCCCAAGACCAACGAATGCTAATGGCCACTCAGAAGAGGAACCCAAAACCCATCCTGAGAAAAGTCAAAACTCATGATGGGAAAAGCCAATACTCATCGCATGGAAGTCCACGGCCAACAGCTGGATGAGAGTCAGGGCCACCCACCTCTTAAGCACACAGGGGTCGAAGGGGAAGAAGGTGTCCAGGGGATTTGTGCAGGTTTGCACCGAGTCGCCTCCCGCTGTGTTTCTAATAACCGGCAGCATCTGTCGATTGTTCCTCTCAATGATGGTGTAGCAGAAGACGAGCTGGTATTTACTGCGGACGACACAAGCAACAGGGCCAAGGCGTCAGCACCGCGGAGCCACTGCGCAGACGTGGCTGTGCGTGTAGCCACGCCGACAGGCCATGCACAAGCAGCGTCGCCGGCAGAAAGCACGGCTCTCGGCACAGCTCTGGCCTACCACTTTGAGGCTTGCTGGGAGAAAAGGAGCGTGGCTGCTTAAGAACACAAGCGTGGACTTAGTTTTAAGAGGCACAGCTGATTAAAAAAGTGTGTTCGTGGCGAAACTCTCAGCTCATGAGATTTTATTCATTCCTTTCTATTCTTTTTGCTTTCTATACAATGATATAATATTCCGTATTATATCATCTTTACTGTTTGTAACAGAACTAAGGGAGTAGTGAAAAGGGGGCTCTGGATTTACTGAGGGGCAGGGTGCTGACAGAGCTGTCAGATGTGCTGCTGCGACATCAGGAATGTGCTGGGTAGGGGCTCAGGGCTGGCTTCCTGGAGAGCTCAGGACAGGCGCAGCGAGCAGAGACCGCTAACCAGGAGGACTCATGACCCAAAACCACAGAGCCTCCCTGTGGCCATTCTCCCGGCGCTCACTTTCACTCTGAGCACAAGCCTTGCACGGTGCACCTGCAGGTTCTGCTGCAATTTTAGGCCGCATGTTCCATTCGCCAGGACCCATCTGACTCCCGCTCCGGGTGGGAGGGCAAAGCGGCAGCATCACCCTGAGTACAGCTTCTATTATCTGGTACAGCACCTTGGACACCGCCACCACCCAGCTCCTTGGCTTATCTGATTCATGACAAGGAAGCCCATTCTGCGCGCCAGGACGCAAGCACGGAGTGTGCCTACGCTGAAACATGAGCCGGCTTAACCGAAACACAGATTGAAAAAAGCAGAACACTACACAGCACTTAAAATCAAAATACAGCCATACAAGTCGGTAAGAATCTCAAAACCATCAAACAAGCAGAAGTAGCAGCTACAGAGCTGTCGTAAGTATCTCAACACAGACCTTCCTCTCAGTCTCACAGCCCCTCCTAACCTGCACTAAGTCCAATCCCTGTCAGTCTGTTCAGCAAATGCAATCTTCTGCTCTCACCCCAAGCATATTCTAGGGGGTCTGCCTCCCCTTGTGGCATCACCCCTTAATCTTCCAGTTGCCTCCAGCAACTATGGCTTGTTCTTTTCTTAATCCTTTACCATCATTTCTGAGATCTCAGGAGAGACCCCAAAACATACTTTGAACTACTGATGCCTGCCTATGAAAGGAAAGTTCAATTGCTTGAATGAGGAACGCTGTGTAATAAAAGCAGAATACTTTTAGTCTTCTAACAGTACCGACTATTATGTGATGAAGATGTTAAGACCCTGCCCTAAATATTCTGATTAATTGCCTAAAGTTTCCAGACTCCCATTCTACATGAAGCAGAATAATTCAAAGACTGCTTCCCAAGGAGTCAGACTGTCTACGTTCGATTCTTAGCCAGCACAGTCGGCTGTGACTTGACACAAGCAATTAGCTCTGCGCCTCCACTTACAAACGGGGTGGTGGAGACTGAGTGAGTTCTATGTCAAGTGCTCAGGCCTTTACACAGGAGCCACTGTATCCAGTGCGGCTTCAAGGCCTCACTAAACCAGCTTCCTACTGTCAGAGATCTGACTCACATCCAGTCTATTTTTATCACTAATATAGAAGTCACTCAAATAAACACCTTTGGTTTGTACCGCTCAGCTTACTAGTAGCCATTTTTATTTCAAAGTGCCTAGGGTTCTGCTGAATTAGTCTCTCTGGATAAAATGTGACAGTGGTTTCCAAAACCACCAAAGGATAAAAGCAAAGATCCATTAAGTGCTTCCTGCCGCTATGAGATAATTGGTTCTTTAAAGTTCTATATTATTGTTACCAATTTTATGAGATGTTAATTTCAGAGACAGTTAATCTTCCACTACTAATATAAATTTACTTCTAAATAAGGTCTCCCATCAAGAAACCATAAATAACTTACCTTGTGATAGCAGCAAAAAAGTTAACTACAGAGGGCAGGCAAATCTTCAAAGGATTCAGCTGACTCATGACTATGCGTTCAAAATTCAGACTCTGAAGGTACCTCAAGCCTTTATTTTAATAAAAAACAAAGATCTTTTACTTGAAAGGTAACAAACACAACAGCCTAAAATACCTTTGAGCAGCACAGATGATTCAAACATTAAAAAACAATATAAGGTTATTTGCAGAAATGTTTTAAATCAAGTTTCAAATACAGTCACATCAGAGCCCAAACAAACATGACTTGTCTTAACCACATTAATTTATGACTAAGCAGCGTCTGCAAAGAAAACAGTTCATTTTCCCAAGGACCCAGGGAGTAACTCACACTCCTCGGAGGCCATGAGCTTCTGTGAGAAGCTGGAATGCAGTTACATGTGAACGCCGCAGAAACAGCTTTCACGAGGGGGAGCCCCCGTGGTTGGCTGGCAGCTGACAACCGTGAAAGCACACCACAGGCTGCGCCCCAACCCCAGAGCCGCAGTGTCCCCCTGACTTATACATGCCAGTCTCGTGCGCCTTAAATTACCAGAGCTGGAGGACATGATTCCAAGGTGCACTATCGTCTGTATCCACATGTTTTTATAAGAAAACTGATGGTGGAAGGAAAAATTAGACGAGAACACTGGAAATAGTATTCTCTCTGTCCTATGCTGGTAAAATAAAAACTCCGCACTTAAACCGTAAGAGGCAAGTAGACGGACTTGTGCTTAAGTATGTGTTTTCTAGAAGATTATTTCTTCAAAATGACTGAAAGAGGGATGTCTTGCCTCACAGAAAATAAATCTTCTTAACTCTAGGCTCTTGCCATTTATTCATGTGAAGAAAAGCAGCAGTTTTATTTACCATGCAATAAAATCTTGTCGCACTAACTCACACAACATGTAGGTAAGTACAACTGACGTAATGCAACGAGGTTCCTTTCTAGGGGTGGATCCCCACTCCTGCCTGCACCCCTGAGAAGCCCTGGCAGAGTCTGCAAGTGTAGCTGTTCTCAGGTGGGGCTGTTGCTGGCACCTGCTGGGTGGAGGTGAGGGATGGTGACCCCCAACTCCCAGGACACCGCCACAGCCAAGGACCCCCGTGGGGCCCCACAAAGCCTGACTAGAGGAGCAGCCCAGTAAACCATTTGAGTTATTCATGAAAATAAGCTGTGCAGCTCTCCGGCCCACCTGTGACTGCAGGTGCCTCCCTCTTTCTTTCTCCTTTTCCTGATAAACCTGTCCTTTTAAACTGAAAAACAACTTACACTGACTTCAACACTGTCCTTGAGAATGCCCTCCCATGAAAATACACTAACTCAATAGGTACACTCGGGTGGAAACTGTAAACAGCCCCTAGAAAACAGCAAAACTGAAAACCAGTCCACTGAAAAAGCAAAATCGTCACATCACAGGCTTTGGGCTCATCCTCAACTGGTTTCAACTTTACATCCTGCTAATAAATGACTTTGCTGCGCTCTGGCCCCTCCTGAAAGTGGGAGTGACCCCTGCCCTCCACTGGGGGTGCACAGAAAGCTAGCACAGTGCAAACGCTTGGCCACGCCTCTGAGGAGAGCATCTTCTCACTGGACCATTACGTTGGCAGCCACCCTCTCAAGTGGAAGTCCTCCAATTCAAATCCATCAGCTCTTAAAAAGGAGGCGTAAGGCATTTCAAGGGAACTAGTTTCAGTGCATATGTGGTTTTCTCACTCTGGATTTCATCAATGTCTCAAAAAGGAACAAATCTCTACTCTACAGGGTGACCAGAGTACCAGGAAAACCATTCATCAATCCCATCACTCACCTTCCTTCAGGTTTCCACTTAAAAGCTGCTTGTGTCGAAAAACAAATGTGTAGAATACAGCTTGGCAGGCTGAATAAAATGGTCCATGGAGAGCAACGTCACAAAACGCCTTTGCTCCGGAATCCTGGTTATTAAGGTAGATGTGCAGCCAATTAACCAAAAGATCCAGGCAGGACTTTACAGTGCTAGAGGAAAGAGAAACCCGTCAACTTCTGTGGCTTCATAAAAGAACAGGACATAAAGTCACACAATTTCTTAGTCACAAATGCTGCAAAGGCTTCCTTGGACCAGCGGGCAAAGGAAGAAGCTGGTAAATGGCAAGACAGCCTCCCAGCTCCCGGGGGTGGAGGCTCCTAGGTACAACAGGCAGCCTGAAGTGCCTGCCGCGGGTGGAGAGGAGTTCGCCTCATCAATAGAGAGCCAACAGCCCCTCTCCTGAGCAGCCTGTGGTCAAACAGGCACCTGGCGGACCCTCCAAGGGAAAGACTGTCTAGCTAACATCACCCGTGCGGGGGTCTGAGGAAGCCCATGCTGGGGCACTCAGGGCCAAGCGGCCAGAGGGCTTCTGCTGCAGGCGGCCTTAACAGCTTCTTTCCTGGATTTCTCCCCGGTCACTGCAAGGAGGCCAAAGCTGGCCTCCTCGTAGTCCATTATCTTCAAAAGGATTTCTCTTTGGCATTAACATATACAATTAACATGGGATACAAATGAAAAGTGACAGACCTAGCATAAAAAGAACAGTGTATGATGCTGTACATTACCCACAAAGACAAAAGGACCTTCATTTTCCAGCATCAAACAGATAACAAAAGCTTTGCTTGTGAGACTTTATAGCTAAACTAAAGAGGACTTTTACCCTGACACTGTCACTTGGAAATATAAACATCCTGCACAGAGTGTGGGAACAGAATTTTTTCAGTTAAAAACAGCCCCCAAAATAAGGGCACTATTTCTCTGGCTTGAAACAATGCTATAATCTTTTTAAAGTACAATATGAAAAACCACTTGGCAAATTAGGTTACTTACATAAGAGGAATAAATTTAGCTCTTGCCAAAAAGCTTCCAATGTAATTTCCAGCAGCTTGCCTGATGATGGCGGGGTTGTTTGGATCCTGCAGTTTTTTCCAGAGATGTTCCAAAAATGCTTCCGCAAATCCCTATAAAAGAGAATTTTTTTTTAACAGGGTCTGACCTTTTCAAACACTTAAGATCTCCTGCTGTCAGAACCCCGAGATTTTAACTCACTACCACAGGAAAACACCAGCACCTCAGCCACACTGCAGATAAGCAAGGAGTAGTCACCATGGTTCTTACTGTTAAACACCTTGAAACAGACTATGAAAATCAAAGGTGCCCCATGGTATTAGATAATTCAGTGGATCCCCAAAAGCTGGCTGCGCATCAAAATCCACCCTACAAATTGAGTAGATATGCTGGGGATTTAGGATTCATGCATTTTAAAAGTGCTACAAGAGACTCTGATGTTAGCCAGGACAGGAAACCAGTGATAATCTATGCTCACGTGGAAAGTCGTTTAACAGCACCATTCTGAGTGGGGCACACCCTTCCAGGCTTACCTGTGCTCACCGAACTAAACAGAAACAGGAGTGTGGACTCAAATACAGTCAGTGTTTGACTGACCATGGGGCAAACACAGGTAGGTGAGTCTCCGTCTAACTCTAGGTGCACTACCCACTGCTCCGAACAGCTCTTTCCACAGCTCCCAGCACGGACCACGGCAGACTGAGCCTAAACCATCTGACCCATGACCAGTCCTCCTCTGCCTGCTCTAGACAGCTACAAATAGCTGCAAAGAAGGAAGTTTTTCACATACTTCCCCCAAAAAAAACAGAAACCTAAAACTCAAAGTCTTAAAATCCTAGATTAAAAAAGTTGGTGTGGGCTAATGTAGACTCAGCTGAGAAAGGGTGAAGGAAACGAAGAGCCCAACAGCCCAGTCAAGAACTGTGCTGAAGCTTGAACTGAAGGGAATGGCGCCACCTCGTGTTCCAGCACAGGGTGACAGGCTCAGAGGCCTGCGGGGCTCCCCTGAAAGGGCAGGTCACTTTTCAGGGGTACAGGTAAGATGAGTTCAAGAAACACCTCATCTCCCCTCCCTACTCCCCTGCTCCGGTCTTTAATGGACATTAAGAGCAAAGATGAAATAAGCTAAGACAGCAGTGGCGACATACTCACCAATTTAAAGCTACAGAGGTAAAACATGAAGAACTGGACGTGGCAGGAAGCGTGGGTGGGCAACAGGAGTTTGTCAAAGATGATTATAAGATCACGATATAAATCCTTTGTTTTGTTATTATCAATCTTACCTACAGAGAAAATTTAGCATTTCAGTTTTATAAGCATGTATTTTCAAGGCACCTGCTTCATTTGCCAATCACCAAAAAGGAAACAATACTACTAAGAAATAACACCATCCATTCAGCTCTGATTAAAACGAAATGCGCCTTTTTCACATATCTTCCTGGGATGCCATAAATACGAAGCCTTCTATGGGCAGTTTTATGACTCATATGGAAGCCCTTTGTCTGATAATCTGCTAAGAACTTATCACAATTAAAAAACTGAAGATCTAGGTATAAATATGTTCATTATACTGTTACTTAAATGGCAAAAAACAGAAGGACTGGGAAAAAGAAACAAGACTTGTTAAACCCCTATGATCAATTAGCAGCATTTTAGAAAAGTGAAGGGTCTGGAAAATGTTCATGGGAAGCACACAGGATGAATCATGACACAGTGTGAGCCCATGTCCACTACGGGTACACGCAGGCAACAGTTCATTCTGCTTAGAAAATAAAGTGCACCAAAGCACAAATGATTCTCTAACAGTAGGAATATGACCATTTAATTGTCTTTTTTATCCTTTCCTATAGTCTCCAAATTTTCTCTAGTGGACATCTTATTTTTATAAAAGCAAAAAAGTTTCCTAACTCCAAGTGGGCTAAATTTCACTCTTAAATATTAGTAATGGAAATGGGGAAAACTCCAGTTTTTCATAGCAAAGTCTGCACCAAAGTTCCATGAGGACAAGCGGCCTACCCTGACGATCACCAAATAGGAACCAATTACTACGACCTGTAAATCCAACACAGCGCCGAGCAGCGCCTACCCCATTCTTAAATGTCTGGAAGGACGCGCTGAGCGGAAGTCCCACGCCACCGTGTCCAAGCTGCTACAAGCTTGACATAACTACGGCTCTCCAAGCTGCCTTGTTTAAAACCGAGAAGCGCCACGGGAAGCTCATCAACAACACGCGTACCGCACGCACAAGGCGCAGGCGTGTCTCAGCACAGCGGGCCCTCTCAGCCCACTCCTGACACACCAAACTTGTGCAGGATTTCGTTCAACAGTAAGAAAAATGCCCAGTGGAGTCAGGGGCCTCACAGGACTTCACAAACAGTAGTGACTGTTACCATCGATGTGGCAGACGTCCTTAATGTAGGACAGGAGCAGAGACAGCAGGACGTCCAGGCGCTCGGCCGCGGGATGCACCATCTGGTCAGGCTGACCCGAGTCAGCCTTTGTTGGGTGTTCCATTTCTTCATCTTCATCCTTCAAAGATAAAGTCAAAATGGAAGTGGATTCGGAGTCCCGTCTCATCTCACCTAAAAGCACCTAGAGCTGGGCCACACGGCCAGCTGGGAACCCGAGGCTCTGCCGGCACCCACAGACAGGGTCTCCCCCACCCCCCCGCCACCCACAACTCCCAGCTGCCTCTCTCTGCAGAGCTGTGCCCCTACACTCCCGCCAGCCCTACCCCTAAAAACTATTGGCTGACAGGGGCCACAGGAGGCCTCTTCACTGTTCAGGCCAGGAAGGACCAACTCTGAGGTGCAAGCTCCAGAGCACCTGCTGGGATCTGGCTGCAAGGACTTCCCAGACTTCCCACTGTGCCCAAGGCAGGGCCTGCCCCTCCCCCGCCCCTCCCTGCTTCCTCTCTCCCTTCCTCCCAAGGACACCTAGATCCCTGTCTCAGGCGCTCCTCCCAGCAAACCCAAGTTCAGACACTGCTCCAGGTAGAAACAGCTCTCTCCAACTTGTAAGCCACATAAATTAACCTGGCATGCTTTGCTACCACCCCCTCACAGACAGTATGTGCCTTACAAAAACACCTAAAACCACAATGGTAACGAAATGTACTCTACCAAACCCAAATTCAAAGCCTTAGAAAGAAACCACCTCCACCTAGCGCTAAGTGGCTGGCAGCAAAAGCCACATTTAAGGTAACACTTTTCTGAACTACGTGTTAACATAAAGCCTTGAAAAAGATGAGCGGCCACTCGCTGGCCCCCCAGCTCTGAAAGCGGGAACTGCCATGTCTGAGCTTGTGAAGAACTGCTGACCATATTAAACAGGCCTTCTGCGGCATCTGTCCCACTGCCAGTTTGAGCTGCTGTTTCCTCAGCATCTTCAATGTCCTGCCGGGATGCAGTCACCTACATTTCAGCAAAAAAAAGAAAAAATTTAAAACACATATATCTGAGGACTGAAAATCCACCCCATATATACTTAAAGGCACTCAGATTAATACCATAGAGAACACTGCGACACAAGCATGAGGCAAATCGATAAATAGTCTGGGTTTCGAGTAATTAAAGACTACAGATCAAATCCCTTTTGCTACAAATACTCATGAATTACTGAGTATGAAGTATGGCAGGGTCTAAGTCAGTCAGCTTCAACGAATTCAAAGTTTATTCCATCTCTTGCTATGCACAAGACACACAGATATATTGTATGAAAGCTCATACCAAATCAACCCAACAGAAAAATGTTCATATGCAAGTCAAATCTGAATTACTGACCAGTTGCTCTGTAACTTCACCACTCAGATCATGCTTTTTAAAAATCAACCTATGCACCCACGGCCTTCTCTCCAAATGTGCCCTGAAACAGCCATAGCACTGACGGGAGCTTCACCAGCACACGTGCAGCTGCTGTGCAGCTGCCAGCAGCGTCGCTCGAAGGGAGCAACCCCCATCCTCAACCTGCCTCTTCCTCCTCTGCTTTCTCACCTCTCTCCTCAGCGCTGAACCCCACTTCCCACCCCTGCCTCTGCCTTCTCCACACACAGCCCACGGCCAGTCTTCCCTCCCCTAGCCACCATGCTCTCCACCCCACCACGGGGTCCTCGCTGCCTTCGCAACAAGTACCTCCTAATCACTGCAACCAAGAGCATTTTCTTTGTCATCCCCATGGAAGCACCAGCAGTATCGAAGCTGCTGACCAGCCCCTTCCTCCTCCCAATTCCTCCCTGGGCATGCACACTCTCGATTTTCCTCCCACATCCACTCACTTCCTAGCCCCTGTCCTAAACATCGTTGCACAGGCCTGCCTCAGTCCCTCCCTGAGGGGACAAATGCCCAGCGGCACTGCCATCCAGCTGCCTCGATCTGTCCAAAACTGCTAAGGGAAACAACAATTACACTAACTCTGATTCCAACATTGAAGCCCAAAAAGCCAGACCATCCAGCAACACAGAAGCTGCATCTCCCTACACAGCACTCACTACAATTCCTCTCCCTCTCCCTTCAGCCTCCCCACCAGTTCACGGTTCCCTCACGGTTCCATGAAAACCCACCACTTTCTTTCATTCCCACTGCATCTTGAGGCTCTTTGTAGAAAGGCACACAGAGCCACAGCAACAGCTCTTCCTGAGGAATGAGCTGTCCCACTGCCAGTTCCTTACTTCCAACTGTCTAAGGTTTCCTAGTTCATAAAAAGATGTGTCCACGCGAAGCATCTGCCATGAGGGTACTCTCACTTCTGAGTGACAAGTCAATGCCATGTTCTCCAGCCACAAGACGGGCTGGCCTACAACGCCCCATTAACCAAGGGAATTCAAGAAGTGAATTTTCAAAGGGGCATCTGCAGTTTCTTTTCCATTATTGCTAATATGATTCCACATTATTACAAAAACAACAAAAATATTTAAAATATAAGAAATCAAGAATAAAAAAATTATTCCATACTTACATCCAATTTGAGTAGTTTTTCAATGACAAGCTCCAGAATTTCACGCCTCAAGGTTGGGAAATACACACTAATCCTTAGTAAGTTGTGAACATAGCATTCCTAAAACACAGAAAGATAAATATTTCAAAAAAGAAATCTTGTAATTATGTAAGCAGAACATCAATCACACTGTCATTGTAAGCACAAGATACAGTCCACCAGCAACACCGAAACTGCCCCCTATACATACATCAGTGTATTGCTCTACCCCCGTAGATAAAAATTTTTAATTTATCCACTTCTACAGTGCTACCTGAAACAAATTTGAGATACTTCATGCACTATTCACCCCTCTAAACAGCAACATTCAATGGTTTTTAGTATATTCAGAATTGTGAGGTAATCACTCAAAGCAATTTAATACATGATCACTCTAAAAAGAAAACCTTCCCCCAGTCCACTGGCCTGCCTACTTCTGTTGCTGTGAACTTACCTCTCCTCAACATTTCAGACAAGGGAAATCTTAACACATGGTGTTTTAGCATATTTTCAAAATTCATTCAGGCTATAGCAAGATCATTCCTTTTTGCTGTCTAATAATTTTTCATTGTATACAAATAAATAGGACATTTAATTTTTAAATCAGCCAATAGACTTTTGGCCATTTCTGGATTTTGCCTATCATGACCAGTGCTAGTATGAGCATTCATATAAAGATTTTTGTGTAAATGTTTTCACCTCTCTTGGTACAACCTAGCAGCGTAAGGGATGGATCATGGAGCAAATACATTCAACCTTTTCAAAGATCTGTCAGCCTAATTTCCAGAGCAACTGCACCATTCACCTAGGAATTTTACATCCTCACTAGCAATGCACTTGGGTTTCGACCTCTCCACACCCCCCTCCTGTCACTGCCTATATCTGTGCATATGGGCACCCGAATGGGTAAGCAGTGGCATCTCACTGAGTAGAGACCTACATTTCCTGATGGCTAATGACTGAGGCTTTCATGTGCTCACTGCCATTTGTATATCTATTTTGGAAACACCTCTTTATTTAGAGCCTTTGCCCATATTGAAACTAGGAGATCTGCTTTTTTGCATTTATTTTAGTAAGAGTTATCTATTTGAGTCCTAAGCATTAATCCAAAATGTAATTGCAGATATTTTCTCCTACTATCTGGATTGTCTTTTCACTTTCTTGAAAATGTCCCAAATGATTTTAGTTTTGAAAAGTCTAGTTATTAAGCCCTTACACTTACGGCTTTCATAATTTTGAATTCATTTTGTGTATGGTGTGACGAGGGGTTACTGTATGTGGAAATTCACTTGTCCAAGAACCTTTTGTTGAAAACAATATTGTTTTTCCCATTAAATCGTTCTGTAAAAGTAGCTTTTGTACACTGATTTAACTGTATCTTACTATGCTGAATTCATTTATTAGTTTTAACATAGCTTTCCTTAGGAAAATGCCTTCAATATTTCTGTATTTCAGATTATGTCAGCTCAAGTTAGAGACAGTTTTACTTCTTCCTTTCAATCTGCATATCCGGCCTTCCCTGGTGGCGCAGCGGGTTAAAGCACAGCACGAAGAAGCTAAAGCCACTTCC